GACTGAATATTTTGTGGGCAAAATGCTTCTTCTTTGAACCCATAGATTTTGAGCCCAAACAAGTAACCATGGCATCCAATACAATGTGTGTGTGTGTGTGTGTGTGGTGTGAGGAGGAGGGGGGGGGGGGGGGGGGGGGGGGGAGGTGGGAGGGAAGAGTTATGTGGATGAGCTGAGTTCCTAAACACATTTTGACACACTTCTTAAATAGTTGAATATATTGAGGAATACCATAATTTTCACCACTTTGTATTCAAGCCTACATCAATTTCAAACCAGCTGAGGAGGAATGAAAACAGGTCTGGGAAACTAATCAATGGAGTTTATTTAATGTGTGAGATGTGATTTTATTATCCTGCTCAGTTGTCATCGCAGCTGAGCGTAAAGCACCATGTTATCCATCTCCACTCTGCTCTCTGCCTCACTCATGAAAGGCTAAGCTCTTCACCAGTTTGCTTGAGGAAGCAAATTTGGTATTGGAGGCTAAATTCTTATACTTATATAAATAATTCTAATTCTGAGCTTCATTATCTTTCCTTTGACTGTTTCAAATGAAACATTTGGTGAATATCCTACAGATGTACAAACACAGAGCAGTTATCACTTCTGTGTTAGTTAGTTTTGGACAGATTAACAAACACTAACCCTGCTGATCTCCAATTACAGTAGAGGAATTTACTATGTTCGTGAGTCACAGATCAGAGCATCTAGTGAACAGTGAACTAGGTAAGAACTACTTTTACTCTCTACACTCCCCGAGACTCAAATACACACAAATAAATTACAATGTTTGTGCCTGCAAAGCCTTTTAATTTAATGTGCTGTATTTGTTCTTCAAGACAATGGCAGATTTTTTTTCATCACAGCAGATTAAACACAACCAAATTGGTTGCTCATTTTGTGGCTATTTGTGGGACTTTGCTACGTGCAAACTGACTGCCGCATTCACCTACAAAATACTCATTCCACTTCACAGTAAATCCTGTGACGTCCTCCCAACCTGAAAAGTGCTATGTGAAATGCAAGGTTCATTATTAAATTCTTATTATAAATATCCATATTGACTGCACTTCTTACACACCTATATCCTATAGACACAGAGTCCTACATACACGTCCAGACTCATGGCTACTGATCACATATCCAGATAGACTATTACATATACAAACACACACACAGTACTAAAATCTATCTTACATACCCCACACACACACTCACTCACTACACACATTCCTCTAAATTTGCTGTTGATACATCCAGATAGACTATTACTTACACACATTAATCAATCATCCTTCTACCCCTCCACTCCTCCTCATCTTTGGGTGTACATCCTTGACTGTCTAGCACTTTGGGATGTCTTCCTGATGTGAAAGGCCTGTACAAATGTAATTTTGGCTGTTGATATTCTTCCTGTGTTGACTGCAAAGAGATTTCTGCCAGTCTCTTTTTCCTCTGCGACGTTATGTAACACTCCAACCATTGTCCCCAGTTAGGACAGTATAAATGAGGTGTGACAAACATTCACTGCCCTTGGGTTTGTACTGTACCACTCGAGCTGCAGAGCACTAATACAAGGGCTTTCAGAATCACCTCAAGGGAGCACTTACCAAGCAGTACTGGCAGATCCCTGGAAAATGGTCATCTGCCACCTTCTTATTTGGCAATTGTAAAATAATATTAAAATGTGAGTAATCCTGGAGTCAACTACTGGATTAGGCAGATAAGAGCCCCTCAACTGTCCTATATCGAGGAGGAATATTAAGGACCAGAAGAGCAAAGTGAGTACCATAGACATTTTGACGCTGTTGTTTAAAGAGGGAAATTTCTCAAATTAAATCATGTTAATTTTATTCAAACTGTTGAAAGCAGAGTGCAAACAGTAATCTTTTTTAGAAGCCGAGATGGTTTATCACTTTCATTCAGTGAACTCCTCTGGGCCACTGCTAGTAGAAACCAGTGGGAGAGACCGACCAATGCTGATGGTTGAAAGACCTGAACAAGTTGAATGGAGAAAGCATCTAAGGATTCTGGTCAGCCCAAGTTCTGGCTTGTGCTCAAAGAATGTTTGCAGTGTCACTCATCAGCCTAGCTTTATCTTAGCAGTTTGGTTACCTTGTGACACTCTGTTCAGTCAAGTTTACAATTTACTTACCAGGATTTCCAAGACTAATATCAATCTTGGCAATAACTTTTTCCGTGACGTGAGCGTGCGAAAAGTGTCAGAAATGTGATATATGTAAACATTGTAAAGCTAAGCACTACAACTGTGAAAATAATTCCAATAACTAGTTATTGACTGGCCAAGTATATAGTGAGGCTGCTGACTGCTAACATTTTTCTATCACAGTAATAATATTGCAGCTCCACAAAGCACAAATTTCTAGTTGCTAAAAAACCACTGGAATGTGAAAAGCTGCAACAATGGGAGATGAAAATGTGATATCTGCTAAACAAAGTCACTGCGCCAATAGAAAACTTCAGTGTCATAAAATTTTATTAAATAATTGTTGGGGGGGCAGTGGGATCTGGAAAAATTCTGATTCCAAAAGTCACCAACAAAAATAAACAGTCTCAATTGCATCCAGTCTGGGATCATGGTTAGCCTTTGCTTTTGGGATGTTTCTTTGCTGAAAAAGAAAGGTCAATAATTCCAACAAAAGGGCGGAAAATAATTAGTTTTTGCTGACATTTGGGATCAGAGTTTTACTCCATCCCCACCCAGTCAATTTTCCTACCAATTTCCAAAATACCATTCACAAAGCATAAATCGTTATTAGTGCAGCTACTTCTAATTTGTGAGTACAGTACAGAGCTGAGTTTCTGAACTCATTGGCACACATTGTAGATACGAAACAGTGATGATTACATGTCATCAAGTAAAATACAAACTGGCAACAAAGCCAACTAAAAGCTTCTGTCAGGTGTTATACTGTCACTACACTATGCATTGTGCGTACCCTTCTCTCCTTTTCAGTCTGTCTCTTACTCTTCCTCTTAAAGACTTTTCTCAGACTCTTTCTCTAACATCTTCTCTGTTTCTTACCTACACTGTATCAAGAAGGGATAAGCACTTACCATTGTTCACAGATTGGTTCATAATCGCTGCACAGTTAAATCACAAACCCTGTCACTTTGTTAGCAACTGGAAGTTTTTTTTCCCATACTATACACCTGAGTTCCCTTAAAGGATAAGTGGACATGTGGATAGTGTGGATGTACGTGCTCTACTGTACTGCATTTTCAAATCCAGTGTGGCTGATCCTGAACCAATAATAAAACATAAAACTGAATAAATTCTTATGGGTAGAACCCAGTGAGCAAGCAAACTGTTGTCTATGTAGGCAAAGTATGCAGAAAGAATCTGTGAATAATCCTGATAATTCGACTGAAGCAAACAGCGTCGTTAATAGGGCTCCCTGAACATTATCTGCTTATGTTACTGAAATGATCACCCTCCCACCAGAAAAAGACTTACACTAATAGAAATCCATTTTAACCAGCAGTAGAAATACATCGCAGCTCATTGAATCAACTGCAAACTTTTTTTTATTTTCAGTAAAAAAACATATTTTTCATTTCAAATCCAATTTTTCAACCATTTCATAAAAGCAACTAATAAAGGTCTACATAAGATTTCTTATGTGTTGAATCTGTATAGTGCAAGTAAGTGGCTGTATAGATGACCTATGACCCATGAAGGATATCGAGCTCTCTGTGGTGTGTTATGAGGTCTGCTGCTTATTCAGCCCTTATTCATATTCATCTTGAGTATGGCATAAAACCCGTTATTCAGTCTCACTAGTCTACAGTTAGAACCCAATTATTTTACTGATGGCTAAAAGGAGCCTTTTAAAACCATTTCCCAAATGATATTCCAACGTTATGATGCGTGCCTAAGGCTGAACGCGCATTGAACCAATTTACATCAGTTTGATATTTACACTGACTTACATCAATTTAGAAATGTCTGAAGGAATTGCCGTTTACGCCTGTGTAAACAAGCCTCTCTGAAAGACTTCACAAGAATAGTGGCAGCAGTGCTTACAAAAAAATATTGTATGCGCATTAAAAAAAAACTATACAAGGAAACATGTCTTTCTCCCCTCCCAAGCAAAAGCAGAAATAGTATTTGGAGCAATGTAAAAATTATCTACTTTTTTCAATTTCACTCTGAGTGACAGTACAGACGATGAGTAGTTACATCTGGAAGACTGAAAGCCAGTGTGTGCCCAATCCATCTCCAGTTACCAAGAGGTCAGTCACTTCAAGCACTTCCCTTATTTTAATATTAAATATCACGCTCGAAGAATTGTCACCTATGTGTGGCTCAAGTCATAAATACATGAATCTGGAAATATTTACTGCTCATCAATCATTCATTTCAACAGGTTTCAAATCTCAACTTTGTTTTAAAAAAACTGCATTATTTGGTAATTTTTAATAAAAGACAAAATATGATAATTAATTAACCATAGATTAGTTATGACCAACTAGTAGTTTGTGCAACGACTTCCCAATATGCATGAAAATCCTGAATAAACAGTTTGAAACCAAACCAAGCAGAGCCACCTTCCCGCTCCTTTCATCGGCTTAAGAAAGAAACGCTTTGCTTCTTATCATCGGATTGTATCTGGCTGATTCAAAGTGCCCAAGGCTATCTGAGAACTTGAGCTTTGACTTTGATTTATGATTTGAAAGAAAACACAACGCAAATTACAACTGTATCCTACAAGTTCGAGAAAAAAAGGATAGCTGTAAGGGCTTTTGAAAAATTGCAGCAATTAGGTGAAAATAAATACCCTCTCTAGACAGCAGAATAACAAAACTCTCTAATTATATGGTTATTTGCAACTGTTGGCTGGATTGAAGAGCAAAAGTATCAAGAGTCAAGCTGTGCTGATGTGGTGCAATCGGTTTGGGAGTGTCCGCTCAATCATTGCAAACAGCCAAGTGGTTTCTCATATCAGAGTGGTTTAAAAAAAGACAGGACTACTCACAGTCTGTAGAGTTTTGGGGTTCCCAGGAAAAGCAGCTCTGGCAAGACCTGTAGGTTATTCCTGTTCAGGCGACTGTAGAAGAGAGGGAAAGCAGTAATAAATATGATGCTGCACAAAATGTAAAAAGATACCGTCCCTTAAAAGATCTTGCTGAGTAGTCAGAGAAAAGCCAGGCAATCCACTACCCTGTTTTTATATAATAAAAGTATTGTGCCGATGTTTAATATTCTTCAGATGGGGCCTGTCAAATGTTTGCTTCACGTGTTTATTAGGGGTATCGGCTCTGATGGATACAGGTGTTACACATGTATCCAATGAAAAACGTGTTACTTATTTGGCCGGGGTATGATAACAGTTTGCCAATTCCACAAGGTGGTCCTGCAAAGTTTACCCAAGACATTACAGAACGTAAAGAGTGTTCCCTATAGATATACAGCTCAAGTCAGCAACACAGGAAAGCCACCAGGAAGTGCTGAGATGTGGAGTAATGAGAAAGTCAAGCCTGAGCAACTATTTTGCTCGTTGCCTCTCGTGAATTGCACTTTATTGTTTTTTACCGACTATAACTTTTACATATTTATGGCAAGTTGAATAATTACACAACCATTTCACTTACTCGCCAGTTTAAAAATAATTGTTAGAAGAGAGAAAAAAAAGTTCAGTCCCTGGAGCTTCTTCCCCCCCACTCATCCAATTTAAACAATTTAAACAGATTTGTGGGTTTTTAACTCAATACATCCATCTGCCAAAATTATTAATATTTTTTAAAAAATCAGTGCACCTGGCTTTTAAATTAAAAAGGTTTTAAAGTTAAAGACGTCTCTCACGGGTTGGTCAAGCCGTTTGTAAAGATCTTCTGCCCACCCTAGCAAACCTCCACAGCATGACTGACCCTGTTGCTTAGGGAGCCTCGGCACAAACTACATTGGCTCTGTGAACACCAGTGCTCTGAATTTACAGAACTTTATGACACTCACAAAAACATTCACAAAATAATTTTCGAGTTAAAAAGGGAGTGGGGGGGATCTTTTCTTTTGCAAAGGGGAATCAGTGTACAAAGCATGTCCGTTCAGACCAAGGTTTAAGAGCTGTGGGGCCCTGCAGCTTGGTACTTCAGACTAGATGACAGCTACTGGTTTTGTGAAATACAGTCCACGCATTGTGGGCAGATAATAATAAAAGAGGAGGAGGGGGGTGGAAAGCAACAGAGTTTGCCTTTAACATTTTGAAACATCCGTTAGAACTGGGCTTCTCATTTCAGGAGAAAGTGGAAGGGCCGGCATCCAGCAAACACTGTCACAAAGGACCTGTGCAAAACAGATGTGGGAAAAACAAACAGCAGCCTGCCATCTGAATTGGTAAAAAGGTCTGCTCAGTGCAAATAGGCTCCATTCCTCACTTCAACATCAATAGCCATAAAAAGGTCACGTAAAACCCAACCTTGAGAAAGAGGAAAGATATTGAGAACTTCGCAATAGTAACGTTTTCTTTCCAAGCAGGAAGAAGCCATGTTAGCAATAAAAAAAAGGAAACTTTTCACCATAACATTTAAAATATATAGACAATTAAAAAGCTAAAAACTGATCATGCTCAGGGAAGCACTGCTTATTATTAGACCATCTAGTATTATTAAACCTTCTCTAATGCAAAGTTGTTAGGAACTAGAAGGAACATGGTGGAGCAGGACAGTTATTCAACAATATTTCAATTGATGAAATTTTATTCCCATCCCAATGGGGATGCAGTACACAAATCAGTGGCAGTTTTTTTTTTTAAAAAGACACTTCAAGAAAAAAAAGTTTACTTATTCCGAATTCTTTTTCCTCCCCTCTTTGGTATCCAAAAGTGCTCTGCCACATTATCTTAACAAACTGCGCAAGTTGTTGCTGTTCAAGTTCGTGTGGAAACAATGCAACTACATCAGCAACCCACCTACACATAATTCAATATCAAGTTCTTTAACAGAACGCCAACAAATAATTCTGAATTATTTCACTGATATCAAGTATACAGGATGTCCAAGGAAATCAATGTTATAGGCATGTAGAATAACTACCATGGAAGTTTGTGGGTTGAAGCCCAAATCAGATCTTAAGATCACTGTCTCAGCACTTCATTGCCATGCTAAAGGAGTACTGTCAGATGTGCCATCCTTCAAATGAAATGTTAATCCAAGATACAGCTGCCTGTTCAAGAGGATGTAAAAGATGTTACAAAACTGCTTGAAAAGAGAAAGTTGTTTCTCCCAGCGTCTTGGCCGACAAATCCTCCAGATAAATTGGTCATTCACTGCATAGCTGTTTGTGGGACATTGATGTGTGCACATTGGCTGCCACATTTATTCACCATAGTTGACAGCAAATCCCTTTAAAGCGTTTTGAGAGATTTTGACATTAGACACTCTTCTAAATCCAAAGATTATTACTATTATTAACTGACAAAATGAACCATGTGCAAACAAGCATCTGCAGGATGAGCTGAAAGCAAAAACCAGTGACTCACTAAGCAACACTATTTTTTGGCAATGCTGTCTGACACATAAAGCACTGTCACTGAAAATGGGGCATCATTCTTTATGAAGTTCCCGCTTTTGGCTTTCAAAAATGTATTGCATACTGATGTCTCTAGAGGCAAGATAAGACTGAAGACTCAGTGAGGCAGGTGACAGTAACCATTTCTACTTTACCTCCTGTACCATAACACCTGTGCAGCAGCCACGGTCACACTAACCAACTACACCTTTCCCATTTCTGATGTAAGACCCACGTATCTCTACGGTGATCGCCTACACAGTAGCTATCTCTACAGTGATCACCTACACAGTAGTCATCTCTACAGTGATCACCTACACAGTAGTCATCTCTACAGTGATCACTTACACAGTAGTCATCTCTACAGTGATCACCTACACAGTAGTCATCTCTACAGTGATCACCTACACAGTAGTCATCTCTACAGTGATCACCTACACAGTAGTCATCTCTACAGTGATCACCTACACAGTAGTCGTCTCTACAGTGATCACCTACACAGTAGCCGTCTCTACAGTGATCACCTACACAGTAGCCGTCTCTACAGTGATCACCTACACAGTAGTCATCTCTGCAGTGATGACCTACACAGTAGCCATCTCTACAGTGATCACCTACACAGTAGCCATCTCTACGGTGATCACCTACACAATAACCACATCTTCAGTTTGAAGTACTGCCTCTGAAGTCATGAGGGTGGATTGAGTTTAGCAATCATTCCCCTCACAGTTCAATAAGCCACTGATATTCAGTGGGGTGCAGCAGGCAGAAATCTAGTTATAAAAGAGGAACAAAAAGATCACTAGAGTTAGAGCTCTACTGCCTAAGCTCACACGTACAAAATTGTGAATTTGAGAAAGGTTGACAGTGACACTATTCAACACATTCAGGAGATGGGGAGAAAACTTTTGGGGACAAACTTTATTTTAGATACAGCTGAAAGTTCTGTGCAACATTAGGAGGACCAGCAGCTTTCCATTGGGTGTTGTGCAGTATTCAGAACTAATTTTGTATCCACATTGAAGGGGGAAACAACCCTATTCTTGCCTGTCATACATTCTTTGCATTCTTATTAGGAAACTAAATGCTACTAACCCCATTACCTCAAAGGCAGCTTACGCACGAATGTCAGGTGGAAATATCACTTACAACTCTGTCTCAAGCAGACTATATAAGCCTATTGTACTGTCTTTGTTAATTGGATCCAATTATAGACATAGAGCTCTCCTTTTCCCACCAACAAATGAGTTTCTAAGAGCTTCTCACTGCAACACATCCGCATCAACCTTTCTGAAAGTCTAACGATTTTTAATAAAAGGTAAGATTGACAAGCAATGAATGGCTTCTGTAAAATAAGAGACAGAAAAAGACATTTTTGAAATGTAGAATTGTCCCAAAAGATCAAATATTCATTCTTTTATTGCAATTGGTGCATCTGCAGCACCCACAACATCTCTCCTTAAAATAATGCAGTCAGCTGTCCGGTCAGCAGAGACCTACATTTTTCATTAATTGCTGATGAATGTGTCATTTTCCTTCAGTTCTTCCCCCCCCAATTCAACAACTTACATTGACGGCTCCCTTCAATGCAGAATGAACACCGCATTATGAGTTCTTGTTGCTGGTTCAACTAAATGTTTCATCTCAGTGCAATGGAACTAATAAAACAGGATAACCATGTACTTTTCCAGTTAGAATCGTAGTTCCTGTTAGGGGTTTAACATGCAGACTGGACTACACCTCCAAGTCTGCAATGGATTAATGCAGCCCTACCTGACTTTGCTAGGTATAAGTCTTTAAAATCAGCTCTGTACAGGATGCACTTACACCCATTACCAATCTACTCTTCCTTTGGAGCCAGTTCAATCCCATAATAATAGTAATCCTTGCATTTGATATAGCACCTTAACATGCCTTCGAGATGTCTCAAAGAGCTTCACAGAATATACTGTAAAGTGAATTGACTGTACATTTTGTGGGCAAAACTCCGTAGCCAATTGCGCACAGCAGTGTCCCAAGCAGTGTGACAAACAGTCGTGGATCGAGAGACCAAATTATTATTAGATTTTTAAAAAATTTGAAGGGATTATTACCCCCAGAAAAACAATCTGCCAATTGACTAACAACTGGGTTCCTACTTACTGTTAGGTAAACAGAGGTGCGTGGAGTAAAGAAACTTGCCTAAACTTTCGCCCTGCTGGGAATCGAACCCAGGTATTCTCACTTGCGAGACAAATGCACTAATCAATACGCTACAGGACTCCCCATGGTGAGGGGGTGACTCTGCTTGATTCCTCCTCTTCCATTTCTTTTGTTGTCTTCTGCCCAGTTCATTCAACGCCTTAGAATTTTAGCTTGATTGCTTCCACTGCCTTATTTTACTCACAACTCTACACAGATTGTCAGAAAAACAGAGATTAGCTCTCATTGATGTTCAGTTACAATGAAACATGCCAGCACTGACTTCTATTCCCCACTTAAGTCCTCTTGTCACATGCGCATTGAGGTTTGGCATCTATATTGTCAGTTTGACTCAACCGA